AATATATATTTTGTTGTCATGTTACGAAACCGAATGGAATAGAATGCTACAGATACCACGTGTATAACGTTGTATGAAGTTCGTTACGGCAATGTTTACCAATATGGGAATGACTTTCCGTTGGTAGAACGGTGAGATTTGAAGGGCTGTTAACTGAGTTATTCGGCGGTAACTCCTTACACGCGCACTGAACGAGGAACTGTAAACGCTTCAATACACAAACTGAATGGTCAAATGCTGAGTCCTCTATCGACATTTTGTGACGTTATGTAAACTTTGTTAAAGCCAATGAGCACCAACATCATATCAATTGAAACCCGTCTACTCATTTCGGCGATAAAACATGAAGAGAGACCAACATCCCCATTGTGCGTTAATTTAATGGACTTTATTGCAAGTAAAACAAAAATCAAGGATAATGTACTGCAAACTTGTAACTGAGAGTAGTTTGTAAAGTTGCCACGTGCGGTGATGGCATTCCCATGTCGGCGCGAAGCATTCATCTGTTTATTCGGGATCACTGAACGTCGGGTACAGAGCCCAAAGCGCACGCCACAGGGCCAGCGGGTGATGCACGGCGTCCATCCCAGGCCCAGGGCCCGCAGACGACACCGTCGCGTGGAGCTGACCACGCGCACACACACACGGACGTAGTTTCAGTTGTCCGAAAAAAAAAACCACTACGTAAAACGACTGTGGGGTGGACGGCTGGGGTATAAATCCTGGCAGGAGAAGTTTTTATTTTTGTATTCGCTTTCACTGTGTCCAGAGTGGCTCTGTGACGTGTCCTATCCAGTAGTTATCGGACAGCTATTTCCCACGGGACACTGACTACTCATTAACATCCAGCACACTGATTAAGAACGGGAGAAGTTTACCCTCACTTCATCCTATATTCTTTCACAACGGTATTCTGTCCCACTGACAACATTAGGCTTAAATTCTATTTACCACACCGACACCTCCATCGCAAGAACAGCACATCAAAGAATAAAAACGAACATACTTCCGAAGACGACAATTTTCTTGAACTCTGTTGCAGCATAAAAATGGCTGTCTTCTGAGATGTTGCACCTTATAGGTGGCAGATACTAAACGACGTTTCAGGAGCTCTTACTATCTCCATCACCGTGATTACGGAATCAGTAATGTCTTATAAAACGTTCGTCGAGATTTATCAGACTAAACCACGCAACATCCCAACAGACCCCCACCTTCTGGATGACAATTTGCTAAAAAGGCAAACAGACGTACAAATTCCATTTACTATTTACTTTTTATTTTTATTGATTAATAACTTAAAACTATTTTCAATTTAGACATTATACAGAGTAATATAACATTATAAAAATGTATGCAGGTCACACAAAACACATCGAAGCATCGGGGGGTTTATATCGCCTGTCCTAGTCTATCTACAGACAGATGCAATCAGCTGCCATCTTTACCACAGTAGAATTATATGGTTCTGGTGTCTGACCAGACTGGTCGTTACGACTGTGTGGTCAGACTATGGTTTGATGCAACAACCGCACACGATACAAGGTGATGTCCAGACTACCTGCTACTACTACTACTACTACTACTACTAATAATAATAATAATAATAATAATAACAACAA